AAAAAAAAAAAAAAAAAAAAAAAAAACAAGAGGCATATCTCTCACCCCTTGTGTTTCCCTGGCCTTTTCCTCCTGTCCAGCTAGTCTCTTTTACCATCAGTCGGAAATTCCCTCACTAGGAAGCAGCTCTCATGAAGGAGTCCAGATTCTAAAATCTTATTTTACTTTTCTTTTTGTTTTGTTTTGTTTTCCCCCCACTGACTAGAAATGAGCGTTCTTGGTGTGTTTCTGACAACGTGTTAACTTATTAGGATAGTTGTCTGTCAATGCTTTCCAGTAGGCATAGTGAATTTAGTTAAAGAGCACATCTGTATGCTGCAACTTGTTTGCATCTTTTCTTTTTCTATTTTACATTTTTCTTTTACCATGTTTCAGTTTCTGCATGTAGATTTAAATAAAAAACAAAAGTTGTAATATTTCATATGGAAATGCTGCCCAATCTTCACCAGTTTCAGAAATTTGACATTTGCCAATGCTACAATACAGTGTTGCAATTTTTAAAAGTAAATAAATAAATATAAATAAATAACATCTTAGATGACATCAGGTGATACTGGGGGTGCTGGCTCCTCAGAAACCAGAGAGACTAGTGGAAGGAAATTTCATTGAAAAATCTGAAATTATTTTTGGTTGTTTTTGCAACCATCAGTGCTCATTTACCCAGTTGACAGATTAAATTCTTGCTTACAGAACCTGCCAGCTATGGGCACAGGAAGGTGAACCCCAATATAAATAAGAGAGAGGAGAAAAAGGGAGTCCTTTTCAATAAACCTATCCATAATTTAGTAATGAGCTACTATGTAAAGAATTTTGCTGTTTCAATTTCCAAGAATATGTAAGTCCTGTGTTTTATGGCTCCGTCTTTTTTTTGTTTCAGTGACAGTGTGAAATGGCATCATAATCTTTGCCCAGGGCCTCTGAAAATCTTAGTACTGGCATAGACCTGAGAGAGTTCTTTGGAATGACTGAGTAAAGATGGGGTCAGGACAGGAAAATCTGGATTTATTCTCTCTACTCTTTAATTCTCACATCTATTGGCAAACTCTTCTGAGACAGGAAAGACAGTGTTGCCTAAAGTAGATCAGTGCATGGTTCATGAGAATCAGGGAAATTGTGAACTCAGAACTAAAGAAGGACCTGGACCATAAAGGAGATGACACAAGGTAACCTGCTGTTTTAATCAGCTTTCTCTTGCTGTGACAAAATACCTGAAAACTCAAATTAAAAGAAGGAAAGGTTTATTTTGGCTCAAAGGTTTCAATCTTTGGTCACCTGGTCCCATTTTTTTGGGCCTTTGGCAAGGATGAACATCATGGTGGGGAGCACATGGTGAAGTAGAGGTGCTCATCATATGGTGGCCAGGAAGGTGGCCTTTTATCCATGAGCTTGACAGGAACATTTAAGATGCAAACTATAACACCAATTTCTCCCAGTTTGCCAGGGACTTCCTCAGTTTTAGCACTAAACATTCTACACCTAGGAAGCCCTTTTGTCCTTGGCCAACCAGGACAGTTTGTCTCCTATGATTAGAAAATAAATACATTCACCAAGGCATCATAGTTTTGTTTCTACCATTGGACATGGTCAACCGACCCCAGTGGGCCCAAGAGGCTGTACCAGACTCCAGGGTATCTACCATTATTGTGACCCCTCTGCATTAAGGATTTTGTAATCCTTGATTTGACAACATATAATAATGTATTAAAAGATGCATGTGTGAAAAGAGGGGGGAAAGCCAGTAAGACAAATTAAATTCAGGTAGCCTGAGGCTTGGGGATGTTACCTGCAACCCTCCTCTAGCTCAGGACTGTGTCTGAACCACAAAGCTATTCCAGCCAGGACTCTATGTGGAAAAACAGCTCCTGGCCCACAGCTCCTCTTCCTTCTGATGTGGTGCCTGGAAAATCCAGTCCCGTAGGATCAGTCCTTTGTATATAAAGTGAGTGCTCAAGAGCAAGAAAAGGGTCTAAGTCATTGCAGAAATCAAACCTGCTTCTCTTCAGGGTCACTGAAAGTTTCTGTGTGAGCAGGAGATGTGTAAACTGCCAAGTCTTTTAATGGCATGAACAGCAATAGGTAATGGCCCTGGTATGTGTGTTTCATGTTTAGTGCCAGAAATTACACGCACAGTGTCTGGGAACACAGTGGAGTATGCTCTGAGTGACCTTGAGCCTGCCACAGAATATACACTGAGAATTTTTGCGGAGAAAGGACCCCTGAAGAGCTCTGCTATCACTACCAGATTCACAACAGGTACAAAGACTAGGAGAGCTGAAGGCTCTCCCCACTGAGATGCCGGTCCACAGCCTGCATCTGAAAGGGCAGCCCCCAGCCAGCTCCCCTTCTTAAGTCAGCTCCTTGCAATGTGATGACAGCAGTGACCACTCAGTAAGGACCCAAAGAAATACACCATTTCCTTTTCAACTGGAATGACCTTGTTCTCCCCACAGATGAGGAAAAGATTTTAAGAGAAGAGATTTTTAATTGGAAAAACAGTCCCCATTGGCCCTAAACCCAAAATTTAATGATCCATGTTCCAGGCACGGAACTATACTTGAAAAGAAAGATTTTTCAGTCAACTTTTCCTGGATGTCCAATGGGCTTTAATACATTGAGATCTTTTTTACAAATTTCAGTAATCAGAGAAATAGAGGGAACATCTTCTCTGCGGGGGCAAACACTGATTTTATCACTCATCTGTCCTCGCATTTATAAACAAGGTGGTTGGTAATGATCATCACAGCTGTATATTTCTCCCCAAAGTCCACCCAAAGCCAACCAGGACTGTATTGAGCTCATGGAAATCCAACCCTTAGGAAGAGGTGAACAATGCAGAATCTGTCTTTAAAGACCCCATGTTCAACCTCTGCATGTATAGACAGGGAAGGTTCTTATCCAAGATCACATCAGTTGGTGGAAAGGAAAAAACCTGAGCCCAGTCCTGTTGATTGTCTCAGTCCTACATTTATTGACTTATTTGATATTAATTATCTTCTCCAGACATGGATTCTCCAAGAGATTTGACTGCTGCTGAGGTTCAATCAGAAACTGCCCTCCTCACCTGGCGACCCCCCCGGGCATCAGTCACTGGTTACCTCCTGGTTTACGAATCCCTGGATGGTACAGTCAAGGTATTTTGAGTTGCACAAACAGCTCCCCACTGCTGGCTGAAACATGTGTGTGACTTTCAAAGTAGGGAAGAATTATCTGATGCTGCTTCTCCAGTCCAGTGCAGCAGAGAGCTAAAACAAAAAAAATTAGTAGGGGCTGGATGTGATGCCCCGCTTTTTGATTCATATACTCCGGTCTCTCTCATTTTAACCAGCTCCCGGTTCTATGGCCAGCCAACATCAAGAACCTCTACTTACAAGATTTTGAGGATGTCCTAGGAGCTAGATTCCTTATTCTTTAATGTTACATTGAGTGAAGATCCAGAGCTTTCTGCACATTTGATATATGTATTATCTCACAGATGACATCATTACATATTACAATATATTTCACCAAGTGACTGTTAATACTGTTAATATCCATTGCTAACATTGCCTATATTCTCTTCCCCCATGAACTTTCTTTTCTTTTACTTTTTAATTTGCAGTAACAGTCCATAGCCATACCACCCTGAATACACCTGATCTTGTCTCATTTGCAATAACTTTAGACCTTCACACAATTGAAAAAAAAATTTGAAAGCTTACCTTCCAAATGTGCTGTTGAATTTTTCAATTTGGTCATCTTACCTTGTATTTTCCAAGGTCTTTTGCTTATTCTGCATACATTCATTATTTTCTAGCATCTTATTTGCCTCTCATGTATCACCTCTTTATCTCTAAAATATATTACTTGGCATATTTTTCTGTTTAACTTCTCTGTTTTAGTGTTTGGATTTGGTTTTTCTTTTTTTAATTTTGTCTCCCCTTTTCAAGTTGGAGTCTCCGGTCATTCCCCATTAGTCCTACTTTATCCTTTTGCACTTGATCCAAGAATGAAGAGCTGATTAGGAGTTCCAGCTGTCCAGCAGGGCTTGTCAACTGTGGGACTCACTGTAGAGAGGCCAGACAAGCACGTAGCAATTTTGTTAGGGCATGCCAAATATCAGTGTCACAAAGCCTGGGCTCTAACTGTGTACAGAGTTTCATTTCATCTTATGAATCCAGTGCAACGCCAGGCCTTCCTGGCAGTTGAGCCTGGTGGATTTGACTTCTGACCCTCCTCTCTACCTTAGCCTCTCCAAGAAATGAACCTCAGCCTTCCATCTGAACAAGAAGTGGGTGGGAAGATCTGGTAATCTGTTTCTTACACTGAGATTTTGAATATAGTTTAGCCACATGCCACATTGCCTTCAAAGGCATCTTTGATTTTGTACACATCCATCGTGAACTTACTAGACATCAGCTAGCCTAATAGTTCTGCTGCTCATGTTATCTGACCCCTAAGGGGTTGCTCTACCACCCACTTTGGATTTACCAAGATTTTGTTGGCATGACACACCTGTTGCTGTCTCAGTCCCCTCTTCCTTGTGCATTTATACGCTTCATGTCTTTACTCTTACTTTAGTAGACATCAGAAGCAGGAAGAGGTAAAGAGGCACATCCAGTAATATATCGTGTTTAAGCAGAAGTGGACATGTGTTTCTAGTTACTGTGATGGCCATTCCCAGAATTGCTATGCAATGAACTAAATTCAGTAACCTGAAGCAGGTCCCTTGTCTTCTCAGTGTCAGTAGGTTCAGAAATTCCACTCACAGATGTCATGGTCCCCTCTCAGGCATCCAGGACTGTGTCCACCTCAATTGTGACTCTTTTTTAAGATACCTTAATTGCCCATAAGACAACTTTGCACAGAAGCATAGAAAGCTGATAAGTAATTGTATCCTCGAGTGCTGCGGTGAGCTCAGCTTTACCTAACAATTGATCTTTCCCCAGGAACCAGACCTGAGAGGCACATAAAGGTCACTGGTATTAAATGGGTACTCATCCTGCTATACTTTTCTTGCATATCCCATCCCCAGGTTTAGATTTCTCAGTCAAGAAAACCAACCTAGGAGGGAAGAGTCCCATATAAGGAGTTGGGAGACCAAGTTAAAAAAATCCTCTGCCACCAATAAATTATGGAGTGGGATCAAGTCTCTTAACTTATCTGAAACTCAACTTCCCCATTGGAAGTCGGAATAACATACATATTTCCCAGTTCCCAGGATGCAGGAAACCTTCCAGGGGTCTTCACACCGACTCCGATTACTGTATGAACCTAGTCAGCCACATTTGTGGGTTATAGAGATCCATATTGTCAGGTTCACCAGGATATAGGCTGAATTCCAATCTCAGACACGAAGGTCATCGCCTAAGAAGAACTGAAAGCAAGGGAGAGAACTTGAAAACAAAGATGATGTCCTGAAAATGGAATTAGATCCCTTCCTTTGGGACAGCAGCCCAGGGACCATCTACATAGTTAGAGTGGGTCCCATTTCTCTCTGCTGGAGAGATCTGTTCTGGAAAAGTCACACTGGGTCAGCTCAGACCTGCATCATGCCCCACCAACTGAGAGATTGTAATCACTTCCTGATTCAAGACGTTCCCAACCTGACTTTGCATCAGCATCCTCTGGAGAGCTTCTTAAATACACACCTGGCCAGGTCCCACTTCTCTCCATGATGGCTCAGTTGGTCTGGGCCAGGGCCCAGGCATCATGGTGTTTTATAGCTTCCCAAGAGGCTGTGATAAAGAGCCATACTTAGGGGCCACTGACTTGACTGGTCACAAAGTCCTTTGCCCCTTGTACAATTCATCTTGGCACCAACTTAAATTGTTTAAAGCAATGCCGAGTTTATATCATCACCTATTCAACAACCTCTCAGACCTCCCTGTTCCTTATGATAAGCTTTCAGTTTTATAGCTTGATACATAAAGTCCTTCATAATCTAGTCTTTTTCTACCTTTTTTATTGCTCATCCATCTGAAACCAAGTATACTTAGATCATCACTTCTTCACATTATTTTAACTTATTCTGCCACATCTTGTCCCAGGGCCTTTGCTTATGATTCATTCTCTCTATCTCTGATATTCTAGTCATGCACATAGAGCCTGGGTCAGAACAGGTGCCCTGTGGCATCTCACTGGATAAATAAATGAATAGCTGAGAATAGCTGTGGTCAAACTGCTATATTTTTCCTTTCATTCTTAGGAAGTCATCCTGGGTCCAGATACCACCTCCTACAGCCTGGCAGACCTAAGTCCATCCACCCACTACACAGCCAGGATCCAGGCACTGAGAGGACCCCTGAGGAGCAAGTTGATCCAAACTGTCTTCACCACAAGTAAGGAGGTCCAGGGAGCAACAGGGACTTGAGGTCTAATTTCGTAAAACGGAATCAGCCTTCCACTTCATCTTTGAATTCTATTTTATATTTCCTGAGCAAGTGTCTGAAAGTATCAGTTCCCTGCTACTCCTTGGAAGCCTGAGGACTGTGGATGTAGGAGGATATGGGTATCCTGGTAAAAGGAAAGGAAGACAGATAGGGAGCTATCTGGATTCAGTCCTCATCTCTGTAACTTACTAAGAGTTATGTAACCTGCCTTGATCTCTTCATCTACAAAGTGGGATGGATAACCATCTTTTCTTCACAAGAACCTAGTGAGGGCTAATGAGATACTGAACTCTTAGGGGAGTGAATGACCCTTATACAGTCAGGCAATATGTATTCAATGGCTTGTCCCATCTTCTTCAGCATGTAACTTTACAAAGCAGATCCATGTTCAAAATAACAAGTGTCCATCCTACTGAACTGGAACAGGGAATGATAATTATCATGCCTAATTTCCTAGTGGGAAAATGGAGGCTTCCAGAGACTAAATGACTTGCCCAAGGCCACCTCAAGTCAGAGTTGGGCACAGGTGTCACAGGCCCCTTGAGCCTCCCCTCCTCCTCCCACCAGGCATCATCTGTGGGTGGTCAATGGGCAGGTTGTTCCATGGGTGAGGAAGATGCTGCATCAATCCATGAAGAGAGAAACATGGCCTTTGGAGCTGCCTCTTGTCCCTCACAACTTCCTAAACAATCATTCTGCACATGTCTGCAAAGAGAGTGCTTCTTTTTCTCCAGATCTTGGAGGACAAAAATGACAAGATGCTTTCAGACTAGGGCTGTAAAATAAACAAGAAAACAGCTAATGTAGGTAAAGTATAGTGAAGCGGTATTGTTGAATGAGAAAAAAAAAGAATTGCTATGACTACCAGTTCTCTGAGCACCTATTAGGTCTGGCCCCAAAATTGTCCATTTCTATGAAGTTCTTATTTTTGTGTCATTTAATTACATTTGAAAATTCCCAGTTATTCTTGTTTTAGCCACGATTTCCAGACTCAGAACAGTCAAATGGCTCCTCCAATGTCACACAGTAAGCAAGTGGTAGGCTCAGAATTTGGGCCCTTGTTTCAGAAATTCCTGAAGAGCCTAAGATGCATCCAGACTGTGGTTTGAAATGTGCTTTTCTGGAGAGCTCAGAGCTCCAAACTTTTATTACAGTTTCAGAGCAGCTTGTAACTTGATAGAATGTTCTGCTCCAGAGTGAGCCATCTGCTGGGGGCTAGAAATGCAGCCACCATAGCCAGTACCTGCATGGCCTTGACACATTACCTTCACAGCAGCTCTAACAGCCTCCCACTGCTATTACTCACAGTGTCCATCAGTATGAGGGGTTGGTGTCCTTCATGTCACGACTTCTAGACCTCAGCGCCTCCCTGTGAACTAGGTTTCATCCCCATCTTCCCTGGGAGGCAACAGAGACTCAGAGAGTTCACTTTGCTTGCCCCATAGGAATCGAGCCAACAAACAGTTGAACTGCAGTCTGGAAGCTCCTAGCCTGACCCTCCCCTCTGAGATTCACTATTTCTCCTTTCCCTGCAGTTGGGCTCCTGTATCCATTCCCCAAGGATTGCTCCCAAGCAATGCTGAATGGAGACACTACCTCTGGCCTCTACACCATTTACCTGAACAACGACAAGGCCCAGGCTCTGGAAGTCTTCTGTGACATGACAGCTGACGGCGGCGGCTGGATTGTGAGTACCATGGTGGATGCCAGAGTTCCCAGACTTGGACAGTGGGCACACTGGGGAGGGAGCGTCAGTGTCCTCCTCCCTGTGCACTGTGACGTGGGCATGCATGAGGCTTTGCAAGACAGTGCCTGTCACACAGAGCATCATGGGAATGACCTCCTCAAACAAAGAAATGGAAAGAAGCTGTGGATGAAAAAAACTAACATGAGAAATAACTTTTTCCTAACGCATCTCATCCAATTCTCCCCAAACAACTGTATAAATGATAGGGGTCATCAAATCCATTAGCTATGAGCAGTGGCTAAGCCCTTGGTCTCTATGAGGCACTGTTCTAAGAGTTTAACAGGAGTTGTTTAAATCCCATTACCATATGTGCTGAGTAAACTTTAGTTTTAGAGAAATTTTAGGTTTACAGAAAAATTAATAGGAAAGTAGGTTTCCCAAATATCTACTCCATCTTCACAATGTCCACCACCATCTCATCATCAATACCCCGCTCCAGTGTGATGTATTTGTTAACACTGACGAACCTACACTGACACATATTATCACACCAAGCAGGATAATGTTTTTGGTCCCCATTTCTCGGTGAAAACACCATGCATGGTTCAGGGTCAGAGAGGAGTGCTGACCTGCCCGCGGTCACATGTACTGTGATCAATGGACAGAGCAAGGATGCGTGCTTCTTCCCTACTCTGCTGTTTCTTCCTCTCAGAAAGAAGCTCTCTCTTTCCTTCAAGTTCAAGTGCACCCAGACGCATTTATTATGTTTATAGGTGTTCCTGAGACGCAAAAACGGACATGAGGACTTCTATCGAAACTGGAAAGCCTATGCTGCTGGATTTGGGGACCGCAGAGAAGAATTCTGGCTTGGTAATAGAGCCCTGCATGTTCGTGTCCAAAATGCCAACTTCTGCCTGCCTTGGTATTTGTTCTAACCACAGCAGCCTAAAGGTAGAGGAAAGGATTCAGAGAGAAGCTCTGCTACTAGGAGTTCTAGTGATAGGCACAGACTGTCTAAATCCCAATACAAGAGATATTTTTAAAGCTTTGGGTCACTAAAAATAAAAACCTGAGGGCCAACAGCCAGCCTTATGAATTAACCTAGCCTTACGTCAGTTGCTAAAACATTCACAGAATTGTACTCACTGGTAATACTGACCGAATCCTTCTGGTGCCCCACTTACCGAGATCGGTCCCTCGTCACCATAACCTCTGGTCCTCCAAGCACCACTGCAAAATACAAACTTCCTCTCATGCATGTGAGGATCCAGACCCTCAGAGAGGCTGAGTGGCTTGCTCATGGTCATCTATCCAATAAACTGTTGAGCTGCTGTTTAAAGTCTCCCAAGTCAACACTACCATGTCATCTTCCACTGGTCCACCCACCCACCCATCCATGCCACTCACACTTTCTAACAACCTACCTGCACAGAGCATTGTTCTGCACCTGGCCTGAGCCTGGCTACATCCATCCCAATGCTGCCTGTTGCCTTACATGTGTGAGGATTTTTAGAATGTAAAGGGTGCCTTCCCCTATTGTCTTTGATATTCACAGTATGCTGGGAGATTGGAAGGGCAATGATGGCACCCTGATTTTTTATCCAAGGCTCAGAAACATCATATACTTTGCCTGGAGATGTACCAGCAGAACAAGTTTCCATCGTGTCTCAGTGACGCACACTCTTGAGTGTACCCAGCTGATACTTAGAGTAAGCAGAGTAGAAAATGATAGCCTCAGTCATTTGTGCTTCCTATGTAAGCTTTGCCTATCCTCTGCAGGGCTGGATAACCTAAGCAAAATCACAGCCCAGGGACAATACGAGCTCCGTGTGGACCTGCAAGACCATGGGGAGACAGCCTATGCTGTTTATGACAAGTTCAGCGTGGGAGACGCCAAGACTCGATACAGGCTAAAGGTGGAAGGATACAGCGGGACAGCAGGTATGGGACAGCCATAATGGGAGCCTAGAGAGCCTTCCATGTCGTTTTCAATTAATTCCAGCCTTCTTTCCTTTCCTTCCTCCCTTCCTCCCTTCCTCCCTTCCTTCCTTCCTCCATTTACTGAATCAACCAATACTTGAATATGTACTGGGCAAGGTAATAATCCAGAAGAGCTACAGTTGAAAGGGTTTGATAAGTATGTTAGTTCCTGAAACATGGAGTAGCTTGAGAACGAGGTGATCAGGATTGATTTATAACTCCTCATTCAAAAGAAAGTAAGGGTGATCAAAAACTTTAGTGAATGGTGAAAAAGATTTTAAACTTATTACAATAAAAGGCACATTGCCGAGAAGGATGGGATAAATATGTTCAAAGTGAGAGGGAGTATGTAATATTGTAGGGGATTAGTAGCAATGTGTCTTTCATTGTAACAACTTTTTAATTGAAACATTCAGGGTATTTTTTATTATCCCACATATGTCTTTCTCATCCATTTTTAGCTATCTGCTGTACACTGATAGAAAAATGGCTGCTCAAAGCTCTTAATCCTCATCTGACTCAGTGCTTTGTTACTGTGGGTAAAAGACTCTCTGGGGATTCTGCTAAAGTGTAGGTGCTGCCGCAGGAAGTCTTGAGTTGGAGTGAGAATGCCTTTCTTACAAGCTCCCTGGTGACTGGTATTGCTGGCCTATGGACTGCAGTTTGAGTAACAATGCACTCCATCACCAACTGTTAACATGTCTTGTCAGATATCCTTGCCACAGGACCATGCAGCCTCAGCCTGCACGCACACATGACTACAAGCTCACCATACTACTATACTACCTCTCGAGTGGCCCTTTGGTTCCTTATGTGTATCGTGATTCTCATCCTAGTTTTAAAACTTCTTTGACTTAATGTGGTCTTTGTGTAGTTTTCTGGCTGCACATTAGAGGAGAAATAAATAAGGAAACAATATGCATTAAGGTGCTGGGTGGCACTGTCTTTTGTAAATGTATTACTTGCATTATCCTCATTTAGTCCTCACAAAAACCTTTCAGGAAGATGTGGTTTTATATATATGAGGAAACATAGAGCAAGGGACTTGCCCAGGGCAAAACAGCAGTTAGAAGGAGAGGCAAGTGCCTGCAGAGAAACATGGACAGTGGTTTTCTTGGCATCAAGAAGGGATCAGGCTGAGAAAGCAGACCTCCCCACACAAGCCATGCTGGCTTTGGGTGGAGTTCTTTGATGCTTATGAAAACAGAAGAGACAGATGCTATAGCACATTTCCAATTCCTCTGAGCTCTGAAAGAAAACATCCAGAAAGGAGAAAGTCTTCAGACAAAGGGTTACCAAAAGCTTCACTCTAAGGTGGCACAAAGTTCTTTCAAGGTGAAAGTTTAGTGGTAAATAAGAAGGATAGCCAGGAGTGAAACTTGTTTTAGTTCTTGCATGCCCCAAAGAATTCTGATATATTTTTGCCTGACAATAAATACCTCTTTGGTTGTGATGGCTTCAGGCAAGAAGGATATTATTACATGGGAAAAAAAATCCACAAGAATGTGGCCTCTGTATTTCTCTTTGCATTTTCAATGAGGAAATGCACTATATTTCTCTTTAGTATGATGACCTTTTTATTTCCTGTGCTTTGGTAGTATTCAAGCCCCTACAGAAGAGCATCCTATTACATCCATAACTAACTGCCTTCTTCATGCACTGCGTGACATCATCAGTTAGCAAGACACATGAAACCCTCGAGAACTTGCAGCAAATATCAGCTCAGAATGTTCTGGCATCTTGAAATGTTTGTACACAGCAAAAAGAAATGCCACCAAAATGCTTCCAAAGTTCAATATATTAAATTACAAACTACACTGCCCAATAAAATTATTTGAAAATGGGCTTCTTGTACAAGAAACAGATGACACTAATCAGATAAAATATTTTGAAAAATAACTATATGGCACAGTCTCTTTGACAACATCTAATATCTGCAAGGCTTGATTGACAATACAGTTACAAAACCTTGTTCAATCTGTGGGAGAAGCACACACCATTGGGTTGGTTTTTGTTGTTGTTTTTGTTTTTGTTTTTTTGGTACCAGGGATTGAAATCGGGTCTTTGCGCTTGCAAGGCAGGCCACTGAACCACTGAGCTAAATCCCCGGCCCCTTGCACATACCATTGTTAAGGGAAAATTTCTCATCTTATTCTCTGAGCTCTTTTTTGTAAAGAGAATGCAGAAAAATCATAAACATCCTATCTGCATTCGAGCACACCTTCACATCCATGGTCACACAACACTGTGAGGTAGAGAACATCCATGGGGTGGCTCCTTTTTCCAGATGAGAACACAGAGGGTCAGCAAGAGGCTTGATTCATACAAGGTCACAGCTAGAGAGTGAGGTGAAACCTGAAGCTGGACTTCCACAGTCACCTACAGCATTTTTCCTACCTGTTAGGCTGCTGCTGTCAGAAATGAGCCATGAGGGCTCACTCATGTCCCCTCAGTCCCACTTTCAGTCCAGACTCTGAGTCTGAAGCTCAAGGCCAAGGACCGTACAGCTCTTATCTCTGCCTCTGCCCTTCACAGATCAGAAAGAAACTCCAGCTGAGATTTCAGGTCCTTATTTTTCTGTTTCTCTTTCTCTCAGGTGACTCCATGGCCTACCACAATGGCAGATCTTTCTCTACCTATGATAAGGACACAGACTCAGCCATCACCAACTGTGCCCTGTCCTATAAAGGAGCTTTCTGGTATAAGAACTGTCACCGTGTCAACTTGATGGGGAGATACGGAGACAACAACCACAGTCAGGTGAGTAGACTGTGACGACCCAGGGCAGGCAGGGCTTGGAACTCTGGGTAGGGGTGAGGGAAAGACATGTCGGCTCCTCATGATGGTGGATGCTAGGAGCAGCAACAGCAGAGATGGGATGGTATATTTCTTTCTCTGGCACAGTAAGGACATCTCACTGTCAGCACAGACCAGGTAAAACAAAGGCAGCACATGTTAACCCTTGAAGATCCCAAGGAGAACCATTGGTCAGATGGATTCCAGGCTTAGAAAGCTTTCCTCAGACACAATCTCTCTGTGCATCTCAAAAGTAAAGCAGATAAACAGGAGGCCACTTGGATGAAGCAGAGTTGGGAGCCCCAAAACCTTAGTAATGCCTTGGAATAAGGTCACACACCTTCAGTGCCATCACTTTATGATGGGACCAAAGGCCAGAGAAAGGTGACTTTCCTTAGGTCATGGAACTAAATTGGAGTGAGTCATAAACTTCCCCACTTCCAGGCCCCAGTGTTTTGCCTGCACTACTTGCAACTCTAGGACCATCTTTGCAGTGACAGAAGTAGGTTTCTGAGATACCCTTTAGAAACAGGTGAGCAAAACGAACACAATAGTCTCCCTTAAACTGAGCCCTGCCTGCACCAGCCTGTGCCTGGGAAGGGAGTATTGCCAAGGGGGCAGCACATTAGTCATAAGCAGCTCCTCCCCTGGCCCTTCTCAGAAGCCCAACCTCATGCCATGTGTTCTCTCAGAGCCACCCCACACTGCTCCCTGAACCTTGAAGATTCTTACCAGATCTGCTCGCTGGAATCCCAGGGTCTTTATAAAATAGCAGTGGCCCCAGTCACACATCACAACTCTGGGAATTTGAATTTGATGACCCAGGAGCATGACAGCATCTCAGCTTTTTGCTTATCGTGTTTCTGTTGTTGATGACTCGGGGAGATTTTTTCTTGGTGGGCCCCACAGGGGCTTCCTGCCATGCAGTGGGGTTGGGAATTGCTGCACTTCCTTGTGAGCAATTCTATCTGTGAGGTAGAATTGTGAGGCAGACCTACCTTAACTACTAGCAAATGACACCTGTGGCCTTAAATGTACATCTCACCTTGCCAAAGTGGTTCAAAGGAGTCTCCTCTTCTCAGTCTCACGTGCATCCCAGCTTCACCCTGTGAGGAATTCAGGGTCTGACTCTTCATGCTGTTACCGAGCAAGCCTTTGAAAGGGATCTAAGAAGCTCCCTCCTGTGTTCTTTCCATCTTCTTGCCCTGCCTCAATGACATTTCCACCCTGAGCATTATTCTGTCCCCTTGACTGTCCTGTCCCCTAACACCAGCGTCACGGAGATTTCCCCGAGAGCAAATGAAACGAAACAAAGCCTACATATCAACAATGAAAACTTTTCTCCATCCCATTTTAAAAGAAGAAAGGGATAACACAGGAGGTCACCAAGAACTCACAAGAGCTCAGACCCAGCTGTGTCGCTGCTCAGGCTGCCATGTGAGCTCTATAATGTCTCTTCCCTCTCTGGCTTCACTCCTCACCAAAGTACAAGGAGGCTTGGCTTCCAAACCTGAATGATTATGAAAGGAAAGAGAGGGGAGGGGAAGGCAGCACATGGACCAAGCAGGGGTGCAGCCGCTGAGTGCTTACAAGCACATTGGCTCATGAAATGAACCAGCTCTTCCTAAATCCCACCTCCCCGGCGGACTCACAGACCAGTGCATGCCAAAAGAACCGAATCATGGTCTCTATTTTCCCTCATTTCACTATCCATGAACTTGTCCCTGCACAGGTTTCCCACAGCCCTACAAAGCAGAGGAGTCGCTGAGGGGGGCGGGGCTGCAGGCTGAAGTTACCCACCCTCTCCCCGACACTGGGTGGGGATCCCATGCTCTACTGGACAGACTGTCAACTGCAGACCCCGCGCAAGAGCGACTCATGCAACCAAGCAGCCCACAGTCTTTTCTTGTAAAAAAGCTTTGCCCAATTTTTCAGGGATATCTCTCTCTCTCTCTCTCTCTCTCTCTCTCTCTCTCTCTTTCTCTTTCCCCCTTTGAGATTACAGAAGTGAGCCCCCTACAAAGTGCCCAGCACTGTGTAGTATCTCTACTCTTTCAGTCTTCATAGCATCTTTCAAGGTTGACATCGTTACACATTAAGAAAGAAGGGGGAAACGATAGTGAAACTGAGGCCCAAGACAGTCTGATAACTTGTTTAAGATCATTTATCTCTTAAATAAAAGCACTGATATTCACCTATGTCCCCCACTTTGCTAAGCTTGTGTTTTACCTCTGGTTTTTCTGCTATTCCATACCAACACCTTTTTAGAATCCTTTCTAGGAGTCCTATGCATTGTAGATACACACACACACACACACACACACACACACAAATGCACACGTACGTGCATACCCTGAATTTAGGTGCTCACTTCTGTGACCTCTGGTCATGACCAGAGCTTCTGCATAAACTAGACCTAAGAAAGCCAAGATCTTCTGCCACCATTTTGTTTCAAGATGGCAGCCCAGAGCTCTATACAAACCCCGGCGACTTCTGACCAGTGGTAAGACACTGAGTCAGACTCGGCCAGCCACTTTGAAAGTTTCAAAGCACAGACCAACTGACAAAGGGGCAAGAGAGTGCTGCTGTGGTATATAAATGGCAAGTTGAAACAAAGCTCTTCTTTATTTGAACAACTAAACAACAGGGGTCAACCTGCACCTTGCTTAATGAAAACCAACTCGGGGATCTTTTCTTTCTTCCAGGGAGTTAACTGGTTCCACTGGAAGGGCCACGAATACTCGATACAGTTTGCAGAGATGAAGCTAAGACCCAGCAACTTCAGAAATCTAGAAAGCAGGCGCAAACGGGCATAAACTCCAGGGACAAATGGGTGAGAGAGCAGGAGGGCCCAGAGAAAGGAAAGGATTTTACCAAAGCATCAATTTACCCAGTTCAGCCATCTGGCCACACCTGGGCATTGGGCAAGAACCAAGGCTGACCCCAGGCCATGGGGTCACTGCATCACCCGCTCTTCGGATACTTTCTTCGCGCCAAAGACAGCAGGCTGCCACAGGCTTCCATTTTGTTTGACCCAGCAAAATCCTTCCAGTGACTACAGCACCATAGTTTTTACTTCTCTTTGGGTGGCTCTGGGAGTGGGAGCAGAGAGGACTGTAGAGTGGTAGTTTTAGAACCAGCTGTATTTTAAACAAAGCTATATAATTAATTGTCATTATTTTTGTTAGCAAGGATAAAATGTGTGTCATTGGAATTCGACCCCCCCCTTTTTTTTTTACATTTCATACAGACGAAATCAGAAAAGCAATTCTGTTTCCCTTTAAAGGAGAGGATTAATATTATTAATATAATAATGATGATAATGGTGATGATGATGATGATGATGATCAAAACTAAAGACTTTTAAAGAGCTGTTTCTTTCCCAAACACATCTGAACAGTATCTGACTGTATTTTTTTTAATAAAAGCACAAGTACTTTTGAGTTTGGCTGTTATTTTGCTTTTCCTTGTCTAGTCTGAATTAAAAAACCAATGTGTTTGGACAAAAGGAGGGATTTAGAAAGGAAAGGTAATAAGAGATGGGGAAGGAAGAAGAAAAGAGAGACAAAGGCTGAGAGAGAAGAATATCTTTTTTTGAACAAAATTGAACAAAAATGGGAAAACTAGCAACTTAATACTCAGCTTCTTACTCAACCTTTCTACTTTCCACAACTAATTATTTATGATGTAAAAGCTTTCTAGTGTAAGCTATATATCCTGTAATGTAGATGAGGTAGGGATTGTTACTATGCAAATTTAAAATCCTCAGAGGCAGAATCCCTAAATTCCATCATTCCCAAGATCCCTAACTGCTCCCTGCCTCAGCTTCCTCTTCTGTAACATGAGAACACACATACCTCTTATTGCACAGCATTCCTCTGAGGAGTAAATTATGTCATCCATACAAAGCCTTAGCATATGCGTGACATATATAAAATGCCAATAAGTGTTAGCTCTCTGTACTATCACTTCATATAAGGGACAGACTGGTGTCTTAGTTACTTTTTCTCATTGCTGAGATAAAATATCCAACACCCAAAGTTAGAGGAAGAAAGGTTTATTTTAGCTCACAATTTCTAGAGGTTTCAGTCCATAGTCAGCTGGCTTCAAGGGTAGCATGGCAGAGAAGAAAAAGTTCATGGCAGGCAGAAGACAGAAAAGAAGTGAAGTAGCAAGCAGCCAGTGACAATCCTCTTCCTGTCCCAATTTATATTCATTCTTTCGAGGCTACAAGCCCTTAGGGTGGGTAACACTCACATCCAAGAAGGGCCTTACTCTTAACCACACCCAAAACTATGCCAAACTAATCAGTGGACTGATCTATTAATCACACGCCCTTAATCCCAGCATCACACACTCCTGATGCAGCCACCTCTGAAAAGTTCCTCCTATGACCACACAAGGCTTTGGGGGGACATCTAGACACAAGTCATAACAACTAAAGTTCATAGACTTGGCTGTGGCTATTTACTCAATTAATAATAGAACTGATATTTAAAACCAGGCCCTGTGGCTCCAGTACTTCTGCTCTCTCCCTGGCTCTGGATAAAAATCTTTGCAACCCTAGGCCATGGGATTTCATGATGGGAGGGAGAGTAGACTGCACTTGGAGACATAAGAGAGTTTCAACTCAGTTCTTCATTATGTTCCTATAGTCTTAAATTCTTAGAGCCAGAACACATGTCTATTGAGAATATCACCTTCTCCCCTTCTCCAAATCCCCAAAAAGGAAAAGACCCCAGAGTCCCCAGCCTTAGCCAGAACACTTGTAGTGATGAGCACTTATTGCCCAGCCCAGCAGGTCCGTTCACACTGAGCAATGCAGTTAGTCAGAACCACACAATGCAGGGCACTGCTCTCTTAAACAAGGGAGGGGGCTAAGTCCCAGTTCATTCACTCACAGATCTTCAGCAACTGACTTAGTTAACAAAAAAGTGCTTAGGCTGATAGGCCTCATTCAAATGGAATGTGATGGCTCAGATGCCGGGATCAGAGGAATTTATGGTCCTAGTCAGATCCTTTGCTGTTGAGTTTATCTTGCTTTAATAAATGCTGTCACATTATATACACAATTTGCTTTTCCAGATCATAAGACCTGTTGCCCGAAATTCAGCCATAGCAACCCTCTGCTGACTGTACAAACCCAAACAAACAGGGTCCTCTTAACAACCAGACCTTAAGTGGGAGGTTTGACTCTCCACTGACTTGGTGCTGACTTGGGAGTGCAAACATCCAACCCCATCTTCAACACCATAGCTATCATTAAGCTGCTAAGGCATTTACCCAAAGCTCACAAGAATCAAATCCTGATTGGTAAAGAAGTCATATCAGACAGGCACCCTTCATTACAGCCTTTTGGAGTTATAAATGCCCCCAAATAAGGATCAGGGGATTAGAAGGGTCTGAAGCCACAACTTCAAAGTTCACCATTTCTCAATACAAAGACTTTGACTTTGTATCTTTTTCAGGCCAGTGCCTTGGATTAGTCAGTTTCCTGTCACTGGGACAAAATACCTGCTACCCACTACTTAAGGAGGAGAGATTTCTTTCAGCTTATGGTTTCAGAGCTTTCAAACAATGGTTTATTGGCTCCAAAGCAGAAACAGCATGGTGGAAGGACATGGCACAAGATGGGTGTTCACCCGTTGGCAGCCAGGAAACAGAGAGAAAGGGGAGGGACCAGAACAAAAGCACACCCTTCCAGATCACACCCTGTCACCCACTTCCTTCATCAAGGCCCCACCTCCCATCAGCACATTCAGCTATGAACTCATCAGAGGATTAATCCACTGACAAGTACAGGAGATGTCCATGATCCAGTCATTTTTCCAAAAGCCCCACCTTTGAACACTTGAACTTCTATGGGCATTTTAGATCTAAGCCATAACATGACTTCATCTTGAAAAATCTCTTAAAATTCTACAATACCTTCATGGTCCAGCCTCCATTCCACCCCCATGAAACAGTTGAAATTTGTTGTCTGATAATCCATCTCCAGGACGTTCAGTTTACCCTTTGCTCTTCCCCTCATCTGCTCTCCTCATTTCCTCTGTTTTATGCCCTTCAACACACCCAAGTGAACTCTGTCAATGTCCTCCAGCTTCCACCTGGGCACAGAAAGGAGTGTACTAGCAGAATACTGAAGAAAGGCATCAGGTGAGAGTGAGTCAGAGTACTTATTTCTCAACTCTCTCTCTCTATAGCATTACTGTGAACTGACAGCTTCCCTCATGAATCTTACACTCATGGTCAACTGACTGTCTTCACAAAACTTTCACTCTTTCTGTGTCTCTCTCAATCTTGGTTTCAAATCCTGCTCCCCTGACTTGCCCCTTTGGACCTTGGGATGGTCACAGTGCCTTGCTTCTCTGCCCAAGATGGAAAACTGTGTTGGACCTTTGGTTCTTCTCTGCTCTAGTCCTACCGATCAAGCTCTCCTCAAGAATCCTGACAGACTCTCAGGAACACCCGGGCATTTATCCATATATTATTATCCATTATTTTTTTCCTTCTCATAGTTCTCTTCCACAGTGGAAACCGATCATTTAATAGCTTCCTAGGATGCAAATTTCTTTCTAGTTTTAGAGAATTTCCCAGTGGGTGGGAGCCCTGCTTCTACCATGGAGGCCACAAGAGAAATATACTATATTTCTATCTTTATAGCTAAAGCATGAGAGCAAAACCTGGGTCTTGAAAATTGGCTGTCCAGATAAGGACTTAAATTTGAGTTAAATACAAAGACCCTCTGAGACTACTTTCCCTATGGTGTCTAACAACGGAACTGCCTGTCAGTGAGATCTGAGACCAGCATCAGAGGCAGTGGTGTCTTCCTCTAATGGTAAATGGGCATCAGCCATTCCTCATAGTGACAAAGGCACACTGGCTGATGGTTCCTGCTACATGGTATCCTTTGGTTACTGGTGGTTTTCAGAGCCTACTTCTCCTAACTTCCCATTAATTTTATGAGTTTCCTGAGATCTTTCTAGAAAGTTCCTTTCCTGCTTAAGTCGTCCCAAGATTATTTCTGGTGCCTATAGCCAAATTCTTTGACTGATATGCTTCTTTCCTAGCCTGTGAACCCTTCTTTTTAATTGCCTCCCTTGTAGGTCCAGCGCTGTCCTTCACACTTTAAATATTTGAAGTTATTTGACAATCACAGTGACCTGCAAAAAGTCAAGACTATTCTATATTTTCTAGAAAACTAAGCCTCACAGAAGTTAGGTGAATCAAGCATATACACCAAGATGTAAAGGCCACAATTTAAAAGTAGGGTGCCTTATGGAAAAGTCCAAAGTCTTTGTAGTGAAGCTTTCTTACTCGTTTTAACAAATCATATTAAACTGAGAACAATATTTTATTCATTGCACAAATATTTATAAAGAACACTGAATATGAAAGGGCTTCCTTAGTGAAAAATAGAGCAAAGATCCATGCAACTTGCATCCCAACAAGGAAACTTAATACATGAGCAAGTTAAAGAGCATATTAAAACGTAACAAATGCCCTGGGAAAACATAACAGAACTAGGATAAGAGGTGAAGTGCCAGAACAGGGGGACATACTGCATTGTTAAAGTGGGGTAGTCAGGACAGGTTTTGTTGAAAGTCCAGAGGAACATATGATGCATTCAATAAATATCTGTCATACTGAGTCAGCGATTGTCTCCCTCATTTTTAAGCTGGAGAAGCAGCATCCAGGAATTGCCCCATGGCAAGTTGGCCCTGGATTCTGAAAGTAACGCCACACTGCAGCATGGCCATCACAGGACTCTCCTCACTGAGCTTCCCTGGCAAAATGTTGTCAAATATCTCCCTGCACAGCCAGTCCTTTGGGACAGTCTTCCACCTCCTCACTTCTCTGCCTGACCTACTGTTCTGTCTTATATCTAGATGTCCCCCTAAAGCCTCATGCGCTCATAGATGGGGCTTTTTGGAACTGGCTGGATCTAGGGTGTGTGATATATTGAGTTTATGGGTGTAGCCTGGATGGGAACAAAGAGAAATGAAACCTTGCTGCTTGCTGTTGCTGCCTCCTGCCTTCCCTGCCATGCAATATTTCTCCTCTGCCATGCCTGTCTGCCCTGCCACCCTTCCTTGGAGCCAGCCAATTATGGAATAAAGCCTCTGCAAACTGTGAGCCAAAGTAAACCTCCCTCCTTTAACTTTGGGTGTTGAGTATTTTATCTCAGTAATGAGAAAAATAACTAAGCCAGTCACCTACACTGTTTCCCTTTTCAACACACCTACTCCAGTGAAATCAGAAGCTCCTTGGGGGCTGTGCTGATTGGCCCTCCCCTCCCAAGACTCTTATTTCTGTTCTAATTTAAAATTCACTGTTGTGCAACAACTTCCCTCATAATCCCCACACTAAGTGAGCAAAACAACCACCATCTCTACCTTTGTGCAGCCTCCATGTGTGCAAGGCT